TGAGACCAGATCTTAAAGATATAACAACCTTTTCTCGATATGTTTAAATAAACGAACATTTCTTTTTCTCTCATTCCCAAATTTTAGGTGACGAATAATTTTTTGGTTTCACTTTCGGGATACACTTTTATTTTAAAATCATTAAAAGCGGACCTCAAATCAGTTATGACTGCCCACTTAAAACAATTTTAAATTAAAAATATATTACCCTTAATCCAATTATGAATATGTCGAGTTATGCAAGTGAGGCTATCATGCATATTATGCAAAATAATGTCATGTAAAAACTAATTAAATAATATCCTATATTCAAATGAACACCTAAGTCTAAAATAAAGTATGGTGATATGGTATATACATGCATACAACGACATTGGCATACATTAAAATAAAATAATATATACAATAAAACATACTATTAGTAACTCGATTTCATATTCAAAATTACCATGAAGGACCAGAATAAAATAAAATTAAACTAAGCATGCAAAGTAGGAATTAACCATTAAATTAACAAAACATGCTAAGTGCCTAAATTGTCAAACAACCAAAATTACAAATTACATTTCAAAAATAAAACATAAAAACATTTCAGGACTAACATGAAAAGTGTTCATAAATATGAAGACCAAATTAAGAAGGCACAAAAGATTCGTTCAAGGACCAAAATGAAAGTTCCGTAAATTACACAACCAATGTAAAAACAGTGCAAAAATGGACCTAACATGATTCTGGGCTAAGATATAAAACGCTTAAAATTAAGAGACAATATTAAAATAACAATAAAGCTCAAAAATGCCTGATTTTGGGGTCCGAAATGGAATGCGCGCAGAATACTGGGTCAGAAATAGAAACTAGGAAAGTATCAGCTGAAACGACGGCATTTTAGCTAATTCTAAAATAAAATCTAACCTAAAGACAAAACCCTAATATCTAAACCCAACAAATTCCTCTTTCTCTGCGCCGTTATCTCTATCACTCTCAACTCTCTAACTCTCCTTCTTCCTCACTCACGACCGCCTTCACAACCCAAGGAAGCTCCAACACGGCCAAGTCGACGCAGCCCAAGTCTTCCCTACCACAACGGTCATAGGTAAAAAAAAACTAGACCAAACTGACCCCATCTCTCGACCCTCTCTGCTTGCTCGACTCCGGTGAGAACACCATCTAAACCCGACGAGGGTTTGGCCACACATAACTCCAGTCGAGACCCAAAATCCTTAGACTTACCTTCGATCCACGAACGCCGCCGAGCCTCTCACCCTCTCCTACGAACCCACGACCACACAAGGCCGTCGCATGCTCCGATGAAGATCAAATCTACCCTAGTCACTAATCTCGACAGTTAGGCAAACCTCAAACAAACCTAAACTCCCAACCCCGAGACCCTTACACTCCAATCTCTACTGCTCAACCCTAAGGTATACTGCCTTGCTTCCTTTCTTTATTTTCTTTATTTTGGTATTATTAAACTAAATCTCACACTTCTTTATTGACTACTGAACCCACACAGAGAACAAATGAAGCCAACGAGACTCCCCCCTTTTTTTATGCTCGAGCAGTATAAGTAAGTCCCAGTCCCTTTCAAATTTTAATTTTAAAAACAATCACACATGCATAAAACAAAAGAAACGAACTGGAAAATTAAAAAATTGGAGAAGAACCCCTAGGAAAAATGTACCTTTATTGTTTTATCTATTTTTGAATTGTATGATTACACTGTTATTTCCTTTCGTATCCTCTCAACACTGCAAAATTGCTAATAGTTAATCCAATTTTTTGCTTCCTGTCCTCTCGTGATCGTGATGAATTACTGATATCTCTCTCTAGTTCTCCTTGTTTTTTTTCGTGTTGTCCCCCGTTTCTGGTGATTAATTGCCCATTAAAAATTGACCCTCCACTCTCTATAAACCGTTCCCCCTCTTTTCTTGCTCAAAACTGCCTATCTTATTGGCATAATCCAACTGAGCACGGGTTGGGTTAGATATCATGTTGGGCTCGATTCGAATTGTTTAATCTGCTATAAGCCCGGACAAAACGAGCATCTACAATGCAATCGAAAAAATATTTTGTTGACCATTTTGCACGACTTCTATCAATAATATGTGTTTATATTGATTGTATAACCATGCACCATCTACTTGGACCATACGTTTGCAAAATGAAAAACCTTATATGCATGAGTTGAATGCCCAAAAGAGTCTATAGAATATTCTCTTCCCTTGATAAGTTGATATTCTAGGTTGTATGCTTACATGATCTAAGACTTCACGATAGTTCCAGGTATGAATAGTTTCATAGCTTGTACCAAATCAGGCAACTCATTGTATGATGTATCCCAATCACCATATATCAACCTCCTTACATTATTCTTCGCATGCCAAACCGTTTTGTATTTTACATTGTATCTGAACTGGTCTCGAATAGATGCAGCCAACACCGAGCAGGGGATCATTGGATTTTGTTCAACCAACACCTTTACATATTGACATATTACATTGGAGTCCAATAGTCGGTGGTCTTGTTCGATAGAGTTTTGTAAACATGTGTGTGGACCATTGTACCTTGTGATGACTCAAACATCTTGCCTCTTCATTTTGGATACTCTGATCAGCCACTTACACTCGGGCACATATTTAACACACTTCGCGTACATAGTTTTCTGGTTGGACTCTACAACCTTGCAATCTACATAACCTTTTATGCAATATTCTTTAATCGCCAATGTAGCTTTTTTTTCCTCTAAATTGCTTCCCAACTGATAATTCACTAGAGTTTTCAAACGATTCAGTCATGTGGTCTGAAGTTAAATGTGGCATCTCCGGGAATTTAGGTGTCCTCATCGTATCAAAATCTATCTCGTGCTTGTGAGGGGTATGTTGATACGGTGTTGGATATTCATCAATGGTCATATCAGGTTTATCACCATCAAAAATATCGTCATCCTTAGCCAAAACGGGTTCCTTAGTTTCTTCATCTTCACTAGAATCATCATGTATTTCTCCCCATCGATTTTCAGCGTCAAAATCAATAGTCGAATGCGGATGATGTATACTTCTTGCCCCATACTCTGCGGCTGCAGATGTTCCACTGACTTCATTTGCACTTTCTAATATCGCCAAGAAACTGTCTATAGACATATATGTCGGGTTCTCAATTTGACTTTCGAAAGCCATTTGAGATGAAGTTCAAATCATATTTCTTGATGACCCAGACACATTAGATATATTACACACATCAACAAATAACTCAATAATTGGAATATTTGTTGAGTCATGTAATTCAATCATAGTTGTAATATCATCATCTCCTTCAAGTGGTATTGCAACATACCTTACTGGATTGGGACATACCATAAACCTGTACCTCAAACCATCAACTGTAGCTCGGGTTTTCTTTTCTATCCTCTCATTAATTTCTACAAATGTGATGTCCCTTTTAAACATTATATTTATAGGTCCTTCAGACTGAAAAATAACTCCGATCTCATTTTCCATAATCCATTATAATGGACAATCATGAAAATTTTGTTTTTCATTTTCTCTACATATAAAAATATAGATATTCAGAATAAATAAAAAATAAAATACATAAATAAAACAATTTGTGACATATTATATATATTAGATTAAAGTTATTATTATTATTAAAATTAAAATAAACATTTTTAACAATATTTTTTATAAAAAATTTAAATATATTAACAATATTTTTTATCAATTAAAATAAGAATGTTATATCTTTATTTCGAATATTTTATAACTACTTATGATTAAAATTATAATAATGATTAAATATAATTAACAATATTATTAATTATAATAAATACTATTCAAGTTATTATTTTTCGTCATTATAATTATATTTTTAACATTTCTACTACAAATACTAAATTAATATGTTGATCTAATTATCTTAACATTTCTACTACAAATAGTAAACCAATAATGTTAAAATTATAATAATGATATTTACATAACAATAAATCGTAAACTAATATTTACTAAGTTAATATGTAACTAACAATAAATCGTAAAATACTTAAATAAAATATTTTGACACTTTACTTGAGAGTTTCTTCCGACAATTTGATGTTATAAAAAACATTTTCGAATTTCTTACTCACTTCTTTTTTACCTGCAACAACATATTAAATTAATATTTTAAGAATAAATAATACGAGATAAAGTATAAATATTTTATTCTAATAATACTTTAAATAAAATTTTATTCGAATAGTACTTACAGATTAAATATTGAAAGAAAATTTCGTTCAAAATTTTCTCTAATATTATTCTCGGATGCTCACTCTTTCAATTGTTCTCGAAATTTTGCATGTTCTCCCCCCTCTCACCTCTGTTGTGCTCTCCAATTCTCAACCAAAACACCTCATTTTATAACATCTCAAGGTATTAATGATGCTTACATGTTTCCCGTTCAACCAACAACCTACCTGGGTTATTAATGGACAATTAATGGCGCTATTATTACTTACTTGTTTCCCAGTATGAGGCAACCTACTGCATCTGGGAAGACGCCACGCAGTCAACGCGTCGTTCCCCAACTGCCTTGAAGACGCCGCATATTACCGAGGGCTTCTACATGGATTGAAGACGTTGCACTTCACGTGTCTCTTCCCGGCCTGAAAACGCCATGCACGCGTGGAATCTTAATGTTTGAATTGAAGACGCAAGGTGCTCCACGTATCTTTGACTTGGTACTGTAGATTTCACTCTAGATAAAAATAATCCCCAATGTGGATTATATTGGAAAATAAAATTTCCCACCACAATATCTCAACCATTTTACCATAATACTCCGCTATATAGTTAAAAATAATTTCTATTACATCTTTCTATATATTCTTTCAATTATATTCGGGATCAATCAAAAAATTGACTTCAAAATTTAGGAAATATTCGGACCTGATACAACATCACCAACTATTTTTTTCCCAATTACTTTGATGTCATGATAAACAATTGCAAACAAAATCAACATCAATGATGTGGACATACACACAAGTCGAAATCTACACGCCTCACTTCATCGTTGAATTACTGCTCTTTGTTTTTTCAACTCCATTAATTGGGGGGGACCCTTCATTCTCACCAAGTAATTGGAACTCTATGGTGGGGTTCGACTTATTTAAACGTGGCCACATTCTCATCTGCTGGGTTCACAAATTGAAAATTAAACAACCAACTTTTCTTCATCCAATTGAGGTACCGCAACATCTTCCCTCATCATGCCAACATAATAGTTGGGCACACTAGCACCAGCCTGTGCAAATAGCTCCACCACAGCAGGCAACATACCATAGTACTTCTTCAAATCATTTACTAGCGATTTCTCGCTTTGTTGATATCGTACGTGCCACACATACACAGGAGGAACCACATCATTGATCGTTGCCTCCTGCCAATCATGCTGCCCGTCCCTCATCTGATGCTTGTAGGCTTGACAATTTCGAACCCTGTGACCTTTAGGTCCCACCTGCACCTCCGGACAGTATCCACAAGTTTGGACAGCATATTTTTGCATTAGTCTTGAGGCTCCTGAACGCAGTCTCTCCCATGCCTCCATCCCACTAACAGCAATACCTGTTCCAGATATCCAACAACTTCGATCAAGTCTAGCAGCTACACGGCAGAACCATAAGGCTATATAGATACCAAATTTGCACATGGTATAAGAGATCACATTGGGAACTACTTTGTTAATAACAACAATAACTGACCTTGTAGATGACAAGGTTGAGTGTCCACATACTTGTTATCCTCACTTATCTTGTTTATCTTCTGCCAAAACCCACAATCATAAATGTCAGTGCCAGGTGCATCTTCTTTGGGGAATCTCTTCTCAAAGTCGACTACCCTACCGGAAATACTGTAAGCCGGGAAGGCTCTTCTCCTAGTTGGATACTCAGGTAGATCGATCCCTGCTTGGACACACAATTCCAGAATTGCCGGAATGCGATCCACTTGAAGCCGTTCATTATGAGAAACGGCTCTCCCCATTCTGTCATAGATATGAAAAGATTCCACGAGAGGCAAGACATGTTCAACATCACCTCTTTTCCAACAATGCTCCTTGTTTGATGCACTACCCATGACATTGCAGGTTCTGATCTTATGTGGCGGATGGCCAATGTGAACTTCACCACATACACTGCACCATTAGAAACAAATATAAAATAAAACTTCATGAAATTCTATACGGCCAAATGAAAATAATAAGCCTTCACATTTTACCCGCATGAATATATGACAATACTCTGGGCAACTTTTGAAACACAAGTGAATAATTTGATTCGATCAGCATTAACTTGGTGAGCAACGGGAATCAATTCCTTAACCAATAACCCATTTTCAGGAGGTTGTAGAATCCTTTCGCGAACTATCTGTCTTTCTTTCCTCTCTGCTCTACCAATACGCTTCAGCTCATTAACTTTCGTCACCCATGGTTTCCTCTCCGTTTTTTTGAGCTTCCTTGGAAACTCTGTGCAAGTCTGTCTAATAGCGTGGAAGCCACGAAGACGCTTCAACTGATTTCCAAGTACTGAGGTTGTACAATAATTTCGCAGAACTGCTCCCCCCAGCTTCGTTATGATTCGAGTGTGTCTTGGCAACATTGCTGTTAGTGTGATTTTGATTTTTCCCCCTTTCCTTCATTCAGACATTTTCACAAACATTGAATAAGCAACGTGAAAAATAAATGTCTCAGAGCATGGCAACACATATCAAAGTATTAAAATGAGAATTCATAAAATGAAACACCAAGAAAAGAGAGAGAGAGCCTAACCTTCGGAATTTCTGCGAGTTAACGCCAATCTTTCAGAGAAAAGAGACATATAAGCTTACTCTTACATTATCAAAGCTGCCTTTTGGTGCGAACGTTGTTATTATAGTACCAAGAGGGATGAATCCGCAATTAATACCTTAACTTTATATTTTTTTAAAATATTCTTTTTTTATTATTAAAATTTAGATGAATCATTATTTTTAATTGTTATCAATTCAATTCTTTGTTAAAAAATTATGATCAAATGAGTTATTATAATTATAGTCGTCACTAATCATATTAATTTTCGTTAAATATTATAAACATATAAAAAAGTCATTTGTTCAAATAAAATTTTAAAAATCAACTTAAAACTAGGGTAAACTACATAGGAGACCACCAAACTATGGTTGAAAATCATTTTGACCACCAATATTTCAATTTTAGCAATCATACCACCCAACTATTTAAATGCTTCAATCAAGCCACCCGTCATTAATTTTTAACGGAGGTGGTGACGTGTTCGTTAATAAAACTTATATAAAAAATTAAACCTATTTTTTAGAGTACTTTAGCCCCAACATTTTATTTTGAGACAAATGATCTCTAGTTGGATGAAAAATATTTGTTGATTGATGATCATTGCTTGTCATTGACGTTGTAAGTCTTATGTATTAAATTAATGATATGCACATGTTACATGCATGTAAATAATGATGTGACACATATCACATGTTTAACGTGATAATGTGACACATATCACAAATTCAAAGCAATGACGTATAATATGTTACATGTACATAAGTAATGGCTTGACACATGCCATATGTACGTGGGTAATGACATGAAACATGTTAGATAATCACTTTGAACGCATATGACTGCCACATCAACGAAAAAATATTGAAATTAATCAATTAATGATTTTTATTCAATTAAAGAGTATTTTGTCTCAAAATAAAATATTAAAATCAAAATGTATTAAGAAAAGAATAGAGACCAAAGCAATTTTTTTCAAACATTAGAGGTGAATTTTGACGCCGAAACGATTATAAAATCTATCTACCCAACCACACTGAATTATCATAAACATTTAAAAATCTATCAATCGAACCAAACTGATCTCACTCTTACCAACAGTTAAGTACAAAGATAAATTTAGAAAAAATCAGGGACCTATTTAAGAGAAGTGACAAAGTTTGGAGAGTTGATATTACTTTATACATACCAAAATCAACAAAATTAAATACAAAAAAATGCGAAAATGGATGTTCACGCCTTCACGGTAACCTGCCAAATTCAAAATAGTATTTCGTCCAAAAGGCCCAATTAAAACTAGAAAATTTGAGGGAGAGATGGATTGATCCAAGTATCCTAGGTAGAATAATTCGGGGTTTTAGAAAGAAAAAAACTAGGGTCAAAAGCCATAACCCAGTAAACAAAGTCACCTGCTTCAGCTGTAACCCGCAATTCTCGCTATCCCCTGCAAAGAAGGAAATCTCTTCCTCTCTTAAAAATCTAAAATTAGCTTCTTTGGGTCGATAAATATCAACACAAATGGTAGCTTCAGCTCTTTCTTCTTATCTGAGTCTTTCTCTATCTACTCCAACCAGACCCACTTCTCTTTCATCCCTTTCTCCGAGGTACCTGTTTTCTCCTGCCGGTTTTCACTGAATTTGGAATCTTTTTTTTCTTCTGAATTTGTTTTAATCATCAGAGGCTCGAGGAGGTTGACTGTATCTTCATTGGCATCCCCTTATGGAGACTATTCTACAATGGTTAACTTCTCGATTCTTGAAATTCAATCAATTTCTTATTGGCCTTTTACTCTTTTCCTAATTTAAGTTGCACTTGCACCCTTTTGATTCTTTTAAAAGCTTGTATGCTTATCTTATCTAGTGCTTGCTTGCTGGTGTCTTTATAGAGCTATATTTTGTGTACATATAAATTGGATTGTTATGCTTTCAGGGTTATCTAGTAGAACTTCTGGGCTACCTATGAAGGTCAACAAGAAGGGCTTCCATGAATCCAATCCAAGATTTCTTTTCTTTAACTTTTTTGTTTCAGTTTTCATATTACTGCTTTGTGTTTTATGTCATTAATGCATTATGAACAATGCATACGAAGTTTGTCAAGAATAAACCACCGGTGACATCTAGTTTTGGAATTCTCGTCCTCTGTTTTAGTCAGATAAATTCGTTGATGGTTTAGATATGAAGTTGGAATGTGGAAGGAAAATCCTTTGATCTAATTGATAGGTTTGCTACCTTCCAACCTATTTGTATGTTAGCTATTTTATGAGACAATGTTTGCACCCCTCTAAAATTCTAAATACCATCAGTTTCAGTGTATATGATATTTTGGACATCGTGATTCCTCTTATGTACAGCTATGATGCAATACAATCTAAAACGAGGAATCCATCTGTGATGCCAGCAGTAATGACTCCAGGAGGGCCTTTGGACGTTTCAACTGTGTTATTCCGGAATCGTATCATCTTTATTGGACAACCAGTCAATTCACAGGTTGCTCAAAGAGTTATATCACAGCTTGTGACCCTGGCAGCTATTGATGAGGATGCGGATATTTTGGTGTGGTCTTATTTTATCTAATTCTCTCGACATTCTCTATTTTTCCATTTGTTACATAGATTGTAGGGCTTTTAAATCCACATTTTCGTAACCTGCTCTGACTTTATTACGTTAACCTATACCATGTCAGGTGTATTTGAACTGCCCTGGGGGAAGCACCTATTCAGTGTTGGCAATCTATGATTGCATGTCTTGGGTGAGACTTTAATCTTCTTTTAGCCCATTTTCCCCATACTACTTCATTTTATGAAATATTAGTTGCTATTTTGATTTATTCAGACATCTTATTTTTCCAAGCATGAATTCACCGTTACTTCAGATAAAGCCAAAGGTGGGCACAGTTTGTTTCGGAGTAGCTGCAAGCCAAGGTGCACTCCTCCTTGCTGGTGGAGAGAAGGGGATGCGTTATGCAATACCAAATGCACGTATAATGATACACCAACCGCAAAGTGGATGTGGGGTATGATTTAGCTTCTTGGTTTGCACTTTGCATTCTAGTTGTTGAATTTAGAAAAGGTTTATGAAACGATTTTGAAGTCCTTGAACTCTTTGTAACAAGCTTGAAATATCATATAGTTATTCATGTACTTGTTGGTATTGGTTAGGGCGTACATTATTTCTTATTGAATTGATTTTTCCATGTTTTATTTTTCATTTTGAAGGGTCATGTTGAAGATGTTAGACGTCAAGTGAATGAAGCAGTTCAATCTCGCCATGTAATTTCCTCTTTTATTTTGCATTTTTTTCTCGATTAAGCTACCAATGAATCAAGTAGATCAAACTCCTAGTTATGCTTTCTGAATTTTCTATGCTGATTTGGAAAATCCCTTTTAGCCTTAAATTTCATTTCCTCTATTACTTTTGTTTGCAGAAAATCGACAGAATGTATGCAGCATTCGCCGGCCAACCACTTGAAAAAGTGCAACAATTCACAGAATATTGAACTCAGGTTGGGCTTTAAGTTCCTCCATTGCTAACCTTGAGATTTTAGAGCTTACTTTCACAGTTAATGAAGATGATACAAGTCTCAAATTGGGTTTGTAATGTTAGTGGGTATATGAGAAATAGACTTGGTTAATAAATAGGTTGGACCAGTGGCTAAGATGTTTGTGTATCAGTTGTGAGGCAGCGTGATGCGAAGTTATGTCGTACGACAGTCTTAATATAACTAAGGAAAGGTGTTAACGGAAATATTATTATTATTTTAACAATTTCGGTAAAAAAATTACCTAAAATATTATTTTTTTACCTAAAACATTAATGTTTTTTAACATTTCCGGTAAAGTGTCCAATATTAACATTCCATTAGAAAAAAATCCTATTCCCATATGCAATGGGGTAAATTGGAGGTAGGGTAGTAGGCTGTCCCCAACGCATGTTGAGAGCAACTTCCGTGGAAGACATCAGGCAGTCAGAAAATTAAAAATAAAGATAAAATGCAATGCATGTATAAATAAATAAATAAATACATAGTTTAACAGTCTTCATATGCAGTCTTCATATGTGCGTATGTAATGGGAAGTAATCCTTGCAAATAAATCCATGCGTAAAAATCTCTGCATATAGACAGAAACGTAAGACCCGACTAAATTTAAAAAAAGAAACATGAAGAGAATGATACACAGAAGTCAACGATAGCAAGATATGAGGAGGAATAAAGTCAAATAGATTAAAATCTAAACTAAGGTAATATTAATCCGTTATCCTAGTTCTTAGTCTTCATAAATTCCAATGACAGAAACTTATAAAAAGTAGAAGTCATGAAAATTATTACAAAAGCATTAAAAGAAGACAGAGATGATACACCCTATGGATGTGACCCGCACTACTCGGCTACCTTGATCTTAAGTCTCTATACTTTCCTATCAGAGGTCATGTCCTCGGTAATGGTGAATCCTTCAAATCAGATCTCAAGCAGTCTTCCCATTTCCGCCTTGGTCGACCTCTCCTTCTGGCCCCGCCGACTGTAATCGACTTTACCCTCCTGACCGCATCCGATGGTTGTCGCCTAAGGACATGCCCAAACCACCGTAGTCTTCCCTCCCTCAATTTTTCGGATATAGACACCACCCCAAGGATATTCTAATAGCAGAGTTTGGTGTCATATCCCACATAGTCCTACCACATGCCCATCGAAGCATTCTCATTTCTACGGCCTCCATCCTCCTTACGTGATACTTTTTGATTGCCCAATATTTGATACATACAACAACGCTGGTCTTATAGCTATTCTATAAAATTTTCCCTTAAGTTTTAGAGGCACCTTCTTTGTCACACAAAACTCTAGTAGCAACCCTCTACTTTACCACGTTTGCGTTACCACATAGTAAGGAGTCTCTCGATATATTTAAATAAGTTATTAAATTTAAAAAATTAAACTTAAAAATAGTATTTTATTTTTTAATATCATTTAATTAATTGTAGGGATGTATTAAAAAAATTGATATTGAATTTGATGGTTGTACATTCGTGTGGATACCAAGAGAACAAAACACCCTTGCCGATGTTGCGGCAAAAGGAGCAAGATGTGGACATGATAGTAGGGATGGGCATGGGTCAGATTTTCGGTTAACCAGACCTGACTCTAAAATTACACATCCTTAACTCAAATTCGATTCGACCCGAAAAATATACATCCTCCACCCGACCTGACTTTTTGAGATAAAATTCGACTCCGACTTGCAATAATATATTTATTAAAAAATATTATTTTTATTCAATAAAAATAGGTATTTAATTGAAAAATTATAATATATAGAGGGAAATTATTACAATTATCTTAAAATATAAAAGTATAATTATATGTTTTTCTCACGTCGAGTATTTTTCACCCTAAACCCGAATCTGATCCGAATCCAATTTTTTTAAGAATAATCCAACTCGATCGGATCGGTCGGAACTCGTCGGATTTGGGTCTCATACCCATCCCTACATGATAGGGCAAGGGTTCAGTCGAAGTTGAACGAGGCTAGAGAAGAAGAGGGAAAGGGGAAGGGGAAGGGGAAGGAAGAGGGGAGGACGAGTAGATAATTATATCAGACTTCTGCGGTGACGAGCTGTTGACATGGGCATTAGATCCTCGTCCTTCCATCGTTGACTCGAACAGTCAAAGCAATATCCGAAGTTGAATCCTTTGCTCTACGAGCTGAAGATCTCAAATTTGTTGCAGCACAGTTTAGAAGACTCCATAGCAAGCAACAAAGACACAAATTTCGATTCTACTCGCACCAATGGAGAGCTTGGGCAGCCTGTTTCGTCCAAGCAGCATGGTGTCTGTTCAAGAAACGAAAGGAAGCAGCTGAACTTAGAGTAAAGGAGAACCTGATGGCTACTGAACATGAACACGAAGCCGAACCGAAGGCACCTGGTTCAGGATTGGCCAAGTATGCAGCCAAGCTAGCAGCAAGCACAAGGAGAGGTGTTAATATGCATCGTGAATCGGGTTGTTAGCCCCTTGCAGAAACCAGCTGAGAGAGATTTTTCCGTAGACGAGGAATGAAATTGAAAGAGAAAGCAAATCAAGAAGTATAGTGTAGGGATGTAAATTTGTTTCTTTCTTGACTAGGCCGTAAACGAGAAAGATGAACATCGAAATTATTTGTCTACATATACTACAAGGTAGATATTGTGTCCAGTGTTGCAACAAATCACTCAAAGTCATATTAAAGCAAATCATTTTTCTTTTTACACTCCATTCAACTTAATTCCATCGAATATTCATTCTTAATTTAAAATTTCAACCAATAAAAATAACTTTTGATTAAAAAGCCTTTTATCACCCCCCCCCCCACAACAATCATTTAATATTAAATAAATAGTAAAGTTCGACTTGTAAAAGTAAAGTAGAAAGTAATTTGGGCTGCAACCTGATCCATTCTAAGGTCCGTTCATAGTTATAAATATTATAGATCTTTTCAATATTTTAATTGTTAAAATTCACAATATATATGGAATAATATAACATTCTAAAGTTTATTAAGATTATATAAATTGACGAAAGTTATTAAGAAATTATAAAAAATAATAAAATTTAAAAGGTATAATTTATTGAAAAATTACAAAAAAGTTTAAATAATCTTCAACAATAAAAATAGTACAACTTTCGAGAATTAAAAAATAAAAATTACAATATTAAATAAAATCATTAAAAAAAACTTTCAAACAATTCGAAACTGTATATAGAAAAACTCATCTAATTATTTTAAATATTTTTAATTGATTATTAGTATTATGGGAATAATAACAAAATAAGATAAGTATAGAGTTTAATAAATATCCATGAGAAGAATTTGTGTTTAATATGTGAATGAGATTCAACACAAATTCATATGTATTTGTTGAAAATAAATATTGGATCGACTCGTATTTATGTCATTAAATTTTTAGACTTGAAATTTCTATAATTCTCAACATAACATCATGTTTTGATATAGTCAAACGTTTTCTTTAATGTACGATTATAGAAGATATACTTGAACATGACCAAAATAATGTCATGAGATGGTGAGACGTGAGTGCTTAAGATGAAATTTATATCTCTTATCATAAAAGAGATATCTCAGGACCCCTTGATGAAGAATGAGACTGAGAAACAAATGACCGTGCTCAAATGAGTTGATGAAGATCAATATTATTTGTTTAGTCAGTCCAATTGGATATAGAGAAATTAAAGATAAAACAATATTAGGCTGATATTTTTCATGCCTTATATTCTATCAACATATCATGCGATAAAATGATTATGACATAGTTGCGTTTAAGTTATCTCGGATCATGAGCATTTTATTTAACTTGGGTAGTTATAATGTGTTGCTAGATGTC